GTGTGTCCCTCCCTCCCTCCCTCCCTCCATCCATCCGTCCATCCATCCATCCGGCCTCTTCTGAGCGACCAGACAGACCAGTCTCTTTTTCACAGTAAAGCTGCTGCGGGCCCCACCAGCACGTCAGGAATGTGCCCCCAGTGCTGAGGCAAAGCAGCGTAGGGTTAAAATGCACTTTTAAGGTCATCTGAGGACACTAATTCCCTAAAGCACAAGCTCTCCTGCTTTTAATCCTTCTCCACTGCTTCCACTAGAGTTGCCATCTGGCTTCAAAAGCACCCTCTGTTCTGCTGCCACCCTGTCATGCCCTCAGCTTATTATGCAGGACAGCTGCCCCGCTGCTTATTTTGGTAATTTCTGGAGCAAGCACCTGGAACCAAGGGAGGGACAGGGAGATTCTGGGGAGGGAAAGGAAAAACCTTGGCTTTGAGGTTAAAAATGGAGCATCAGTGACATCTGCCACTCTCCGGGTACCCGGCAGCATGAGGTAAGGAGGGCCGGCCAGGCCACTGAACCGTGCAATGCGGGCTCTTCGTCCCTCACCAAAGATGGAGAGATCTGGAACTTCCCTTCGAGCCCAGGGGGCAGCACGGGCTGCGCCACCCCCTCGCTTTTCCAGGGCCAGGCAGAGCGAAGCCCAGCGCTGCAAACCCCAGCGTTCCGGCCAAGCCCTCGCGCTGCGTGTACCGGCCCCGGCCGTGAGCCAGCTCCTCCTGGCACCAGCCGTCTGACCGTGGGACCTGGGACTTTCCCAGGGGCCTTTCCTGCAGCTTCTCCGGCTTTAGTGCCAGGGAAGCCGCTGCGGCCAGCTGTGTCCTCTGCTGCTGTGGCAGTCAGGGCACCAGCGCTGGGCACAGCTGTGGGGAGCACCTTCCCATCCCTCATCTCTGGGCACTTTTCCTTCATGCAGCCAGGGCGATGGGAGAAGATGCAGAGCCTCGAGGAGAAACGTTCCTTAACGCTTCTCCATGACGGGAGCGCCAGGGAAGGCAGCCCTTGTTCCCTGGCAGCTCGCTGTGACCCTGGCACAGTTTTCTGGTCTTTCCCTTTGGATGCTCACAAAGAGAAAAGCTGCAGCGATGGCTCAGGGAATGAAATGTTAATGCCCAGCTGGCACATGCTCCCTGGAGCTCAAACATCCAGCCAAAGCAGAGCAGTTCCTGTCTTTACAAATCCCTCCTCTGGCTTTCCTCTCTGGGAAGCTGAGGAGTTGCACAGCTCAGCCCAGGGAGGCAGGATCACAACACAGACCTCTCAGCCCTGTCTCTGCTCCCTTGTGCTTTCCAGCTTTGTCCTCCAATGCAGAGTGCTCCAGTGGTCTGCAGTGGGGCTTCCTCAGGCCTCTAGGAATTAGCACCACCTGCCCAGAGAAGGGAAAAGAAGAAAACAACCCCAACAGGCAGGTGCTAGTGGCTGTACAGACACTGCTGCCTCGACACCGGGCAGGGGATTCTGCCTCCCTGGCAGCTGGGGCTGGGGCTGAGCCCTCCCTGTGCCGATGGAAAGCTTCCTGCTCCTCCTCACCCAACAGTCCGGCCGTCAGGCTCTGCTAGCAGGTCTCGGCAACCGAGATGGCTTCGCAGTGAGCAGGAGAGGGCACGGCAGGGTTAACCCTGCAAGCAGAGACGTGCAGTCAGCTGCAGCATCCTTACAGCAAGGGGATGAACAACCCTGGATGGCTCCCTTGGAGACTGCAGGAAGATCCTGAGCCAGGAAAGCTGAGTAGCTCCCTGCAGGAGGGACAGGGAGGGGAGGGATAGAGATGGCTCCGAGTCTGTCCCAGAAGCTCCAGGCCGGAGGGCTGCCAACCTGCACTGGAGGACAAGGAGGTGCTGGGAGCTCTGTTCAGCCTCTGCCACCTCCGCTCTCCCGAGGAGCCGGGCTGGTTTCCCTCCCTCCGCCCTGGCAGTCGAGGGCACCGTCTGCAGGGAGCAGGTAGGACCAGCTGCCCCCACAGCTGGGGCAAGTGGGAATGTGCAATGAATTCCCTTTTAAAAAAATCATACAAAATTATTTGGCTAATAAATTAAAAAGTCACTTGGTCACCACTGCGGGGAACTGCTGCTGTTCTTCTTGGGGAGGGCCCGGGAGGGACCCTCTG